TTACTTTTGTTTTGTCATATTCATTGGGTTAGAATTATTTGTTTTTGGAATTTGTTTTGTTTATTCAGATTTGTTTTATATATTCATTGTTCCAAATAAAATTTGTATTTTCGGAAGTCATTTAGGAAGATTCGGGTTCATTCATTATGTTGTTATTTTGGTGACTTGCTTGTGACTTTGATGAAACTTGCTTGCAACTTCAATGTGACTTGCTTATGGCTTCGATGTTTTCTGGCTTTGGCCCATCATAACAATACAGAGCGTGACTCATATTATTGAACTTACAAAACCCTCTAAAGTTGCAAATGAACAAAATTAATGAATACAAATGAATTTGTTGTTTTAGTTATAATTTATTTCAGATTCATTGAAATTTGTTACTATTATGATACATCCAGATCTCCAAATAAAGAAAAATTTGACTGATTTTCAATTAGCAACTAAATTAATTGCACATGTCTAGTCAGAGTGAGAGCACACATTTTAGCACAACAGCTCTTAGTTAACTGTAAAAAATGGGCATGGTATTGTAAATGTTTATACTGAAATTCTTTTCATTGCATTTTTTTCCTGATAAACAGTTGCACAAATATTGTGCAACACAAAATATTACAACTACTCTCTTTTTATTCTACAGGTCCTCTGTTTCAGAAAACACATAATGTTCTGGGTTTTTAAATAATTATATGGCCAAAAATGCAGGTTTTTAAATGCATGCAAAACATTTTAAAAATCGTTCAACAGCCGAACTGGCCACAGTGCTATGAAACTTGTTTTTCCACTGTTTGACAATTTACATGAAGTTGATGGCTTTAGCTTTATTTCTTTCCAAGTATATACCTTCTGGTAGATTTAAGATCTAATGTGTCTGATACTCCTGCTGCTCAAATCTGCTTTTACTGCTACATAAAAACCTGTTGCCTTTGCAAAAACCACCTAAAAAAAACCTTTTTTTTTATTGGAAGTCGATCATACTGGGTTGCTGCTGTTGTATGTAAGCATTGAAATAATGTAAACGTAAACAATATTATCATTATGCATATCATTATCATTATATTGGGTTTGCAGCCAGCTAATCTAAAAATGTTCTAAGCAGGGGCGGACTGACCATTTGAGCACTCGGGCACTGCCCGAGGGCCCGGGGTCAGTAGGGGGCCCCATGAGATGCCCCTGGTACCTTTCATTGGCTTTTTCATAGGCTTTTTTGGGTGTGGGCAAGGACACAGGGGCCCCATGATCCCCTATTGCCCGGGGGCTCCATGAGTTGTCAGTCCACCCCTGATTCTAAGCAAACATTACAACCCAAGTGTATGCATACACATCTTTGTTTTCTATTGCACATGCTTAAATGTGAGTATTCCTGGCTTGCGGATTATTCTGGTTATTCTGACTCTGAATCTTTAGGTAAACATTTGGAGAAATCTTGTTGACTGATGGGATAGTACTATTTCTCATCTGCTGGCAAAAGAGGCTTAATTAGCATTGTGATAGACCAAGGGAACCCTGAGGAAAGCAATATTTCAGAGTGTATATTGTGTTGTGGTGTATGGTGTGCATGGCCTAATTGCTTTGTGTTGGAAGCAGGGGTGGATTGACCCATTGGGTTCTCGGGCACTGCCGGAGGGCCTGGTGCCAGTAGGGGACCCCATGAGAGGCTCCTGGGGATCAAGCCAGTGCCTGAACAATGCCAGTAATGCGCTCCACTCAGTGAGGTAAGCATCCTCAACCCAGTGAGGATTCCTGTCAGCTCCGCTTGCCTGTACTCTCTGCCTTCATATCTCTGGCTCTTCAGCTCAATCTCTTTATTAGTAATTGGTAGCTAGGACTGCCGGTGTCATAGGAAATCATTACATGCTTTTGCCAGTGTACAAACACTGCGTAGGGGAGGAAAGTAGCTGTAGAGCTGATCCTCCTCCCAGCTCTGCCCCCCAACTCCAACTTTCACACTTCCTTGCTCCTAAATCTCACTGGAAAGGCAGTATAACTTGAGGTCTTAAAGAGGACAGGGGGTGCTGACATAAGGGGGGGGTGTCTTTCTGATCTCTGGATGTCTCTAAGGATGAGGAGAGCTGATATAAGGGAACTGTGAGCTAATGGGAGTCTCTAAGGAGGGGGGCTGACTGCAGATCTAATGGTTGGTGACCAACCATTAAATTAGCAGTCAGCAGCACCCCCCCTATACAGACCCCCCAGGAGATCAGAGTCACCTTATATCAGCTCCAGGGATGGACTGACCATTCGGGGGTGGAGGTGGGAGAACAAATGGGGTGGCAGTTGCTAGGTGACAGTGGCCCAGTTACTAATGACAACCTAGACGTTACCGCACCTGCCAAGCCTCCCAGGAGGGCAGAATGATGTGATCCCCACCACCTGTAACCCTTATGATCAGTCATGAGCAAGCTAAGCTGAGACTCAGTGATCAGCTTCATAATCAGGAAGGTGGGGCTGCGTACCAAACCAGCAGCTGATGGAGCATTTCAGGCCATTGAGGCCCCCAATGCCAACCACCAACTCTGGAGAAGAGATCAGCCAGAGTCTTGCACTGGGAAGGAGATCCCAGCTGACCCAGGCACCAATGGAGATCAGAGGCAGAGTACAGGGGGTTTGGTGGGGGGTATAATGGACTGGGGTTATCTAGGAGTGAGGGATGTGGGGGTGGGGGTCTTGTATTATCTAGGAGTGGGGAGGTTTAGTGGTTTTGGTGTTACCTAGGAATGGGGGATATACTGTAGTGGTTTTGGTGTTACCTAGGTGTGTGTGTGTGTGTGTTTGTGTGTGTGTGTGAAGGGGGGGGTATAGTGTTTTGGTGTTATCTAAGAGGGGGGGGGGGGTATAAGGGATCTGGTGTTATATAAGAGTGGTGGGTATAGGAGGATCTGGTGTTATCTAGGAGAGGGGAGTATAGGGGGTCTGGTGTTATCTAGGAGTGGGGGAATACAGGGGGTCTGGTGTTACCTAGGAGTGGGGGGTATAGTGGTTTGGGTGTTAACTAGGAGTGGGGGGGCATAGGAGGTCTGGTGTTATCTAGGAGTGGGGGTATTGTGGTTTTGGTGTTATCTAGGAGTGGGGGTTATAGTGGATCTGGTGTTATCTAGGAGTAGGGGGGGGGTCTGGTGTTACCTAGGAGTGGGTGGTATAGTGGTTCTGGTGTTATATAGGAGTGGATGGATGCAAGGAGTCTGGTGTTATCTAGGAGTGGACGTTTAGAGGGGCTGATGTTATCTATCAGTGGGGGATACAGTCTGGTGTTATATAAGAGTAGATGATACATCAGTTCTGGTGTTATCTGGGATTAGGGGGTCTACTAATCTGGTGTTATCTAATAATAGGGGCTACATGGGTTTTTTTATATTATCTTCTAGTAGGAGAATACAGGAAGTCTGGTGTTATCTGGGACTGTGGATACAGGAATCTGATATTATCTGGGATTGGAGGGGGAGAACATTTGTGAAGGGGATTAAGGGGGCCTAGTTGTATTTGTGAAGGGGTGTTCAGGAGGGTCTGGCATTATCTATGAGAGGGATCTGGTGCTATTTGCAAAGGGGTATTATTTGGAAGGTGAGAAGTCTATACATATACCTCTATCATTTTCTATATGACATCTTGCATTGTACACCGTAATGATGATCTAGCACACCTTGAATACTTGCACACACCTGTAGTGAGTGACAGACAGTCTGATGGTCTTTCTTTAATGAAAGTTTATTTTACTTTATTTTCTTAACTTATTAAAAATTTATTTTGAGCATAGTGTGGAAAAATTCTGTGACAAATGTGTGTATTGTGGGCAGTGCAATATATAGGTGGGGTTTTGTGTGAGTGTGGCTTGAGCGTGGGCAGGGACACAGGGGGCCCCATGATCTCCTATTGCCCTGGTTGGAGGGGCTTAACAGAGGTATGATTAACCCCTTCCCACTTTGCTTAGGGACACATATATACGGCCGCTCTGCGTTAAAACCCAACTGCTGAGAGGACGTATATCTGCGTACGGCTGGCGTGAAGTGGAAAAATAAAAACTACTCACTGTAAATATAGCACCCATATACTACAATCCTTCATTACCCACAGAGCATGCCTTCATCACTGTACCACAAGCAAGAATTTACAGACATAACCCTAACCTCAGCACCTGGAGCCTTGAAAAATGAATACCTACAGTGCTCTTGCACCTTGGCAAAGGGTGGGTGTGGTAAATTGCAATGGATATTGTGCATAGTCTAAAGAAACATGTCTAAGACTACTTGCAATACACACAGAACACATATGCCACAGTCCTACAAAAGACTCCTTACTGTACCACAAGTGAGAGCTTCACAATCACGCATAAACGTAAAAGATCCTCTTTAACAAAAAACAAACATGACTTGGGTGTCAGACCTTAGTTATCCACTTGCTGACTGTAATACACATATGTACGTTGTGGTTTGCAAGTGGGTTATGGCTGAAGATACACTATATTGCCAAAAGTATTGGGAAGCCTACCTTTACCCACACATGAACTTTGATGGTATCCCAGTTGTAGTCTGTAGGGTTTAATATTGAGTTGGCCCTCCCTTTGCAGCTATAACAGCTTCATCTCTTCTGGGAAGGCTGTCCACAAGGTTTTAGGAGTGTGTCTATGGGAATGTTTGACCATTCTTCCAGAAGTACATTTGTGAGGGCAGGCATTGATGTCGGACTAGAAGGCCTGGATCGCAGTCTCTGCTCTTATTCATCCCAAAGGTGTTCTGTTGGGTTGAGGTCAGGACTCTGTGCAGGCCAGTCAAGTTCCTCCACCCCGAACCATCTCATCCATGTCTATATGGACCTTGCTTTGTGCACTGGGGCACAGTCATGTTGGAACAGGAAGAGGCCATCCCCAAACTGTTCCCACAAAGCTGGGAGCATGAAATTGTCCAAAACGTCTTGGTATGCTGATGCATTAGGAGTTCCCATCACTGGAACTAAGGATCCAAGCCCAACCCCTGAAAAACAACCCCACACCATAATCCCCCCCCACAAAACTTTACACTTGGCACAATGCAGTCATGCAAGTACTGTTCTCTTGGAAACTGCCAAAGCCAGACACGTCCATCAGATTGCCAGACAGAGAAGTGTGATTAGTCACTCCAGAGAACAGGTCTTCACTGCTCTAGTGGTGTTTTACACCACTGCATCCAACACTTTGCATTGTACTTAGTGATGTAAGGCTTGGATGCAGCTGCATGTCCATGGAAACCCATTCCATGAAGCTCTCTATGCATTGTTGTTGTGCTAATCTGAAGGCTACATGAAGTTTGAAGATCTTTAACTATTGACTCTGCAGACAGTTGGCGACTTCTGCGCACTTTGCGCTTCAGCATGCGCTGACTCCACTCTGTCATTTTACGTGGCCTACCACTTTGTTGGCTGAGTTGCTGTTGTTCCCAGTTGGTTCTGCTTTGTTATAATATCACTAACAGTCGACTGTGGAATATTTAGTAGCAAGGAAATTTCACAGATGGACTTATTGCACAGCTGGCAACCTATCACGGTACCACATTTGAATTCACTGAGCCCCTGAGAGTGACCCATTTGTTCACAAATGTTTGTAGAACCAGTTTGCATGCCTAGGTGCTTGATTTTAGACACCTGTAGTTATGGAGGTGATTGGAACACCTGAATCCAATGATTTGGAGAGGTGTCCCAATACTTTTGACAATATAATATGTACATATATATATATATATATATATATATATATATATATATATATATATCTCATGGATAAAAATAACATTACATTTTTTTTTCTTTTTCTTAGTAAATTTTAAATTTTGCATATTAAAATTTTGAATTTTCATAGGCAGCCATCAGGTGAAGCTGTTGACACATGACTTCTAAGCTTTTCTTCAAAGACTTGATACTGAGCTCAATAGCTCCACCTGACGTAACTCAAAGCAGTACCCTGTTTCCATTTCTTCTCTTTTCAGACAGCTCAGTATTAGAATTCTATCAAACCAAATGGAGAAATGAAATTATAAAGAAACCAGCTCAGTTGTGTCCCCCCTTTCTGTCCTACTTGTGTTTATATACGTAAACACAATTCTCAGGCTAGAGTCTGTGCAGTCCTCAGCACTGCAGCCTAAGCAGGGCTGAGCACCACCTATCATTGCCCAGTAACTTGCCAGCTGTACAGCACTGTACATGGCCTACCCATAATCCTATTGGGCTGAGACTTACCCCTGAATTGTTGTTCTCTGAGATTTCTGTACAGAAATTTAGTGAGGAGGGTTAGAAGGAAGGGTGCGTTTTGGGGATAGCTTCTATTTTAATTTCAGTATTTCTTTAAACTATAATGTGTTGATAAACAAAATACCCTTTTCTCCTAATTATTTCAAATTCAATGTCCACACCATAGACTGTGGTGTATTATGTTTCATAATTAAATCTGGCTGTCACTAAGTGTTTAAATTTCATTTAAAGTTTATTAAAATTGATCCTAATGGAAAGTCTTCAGCACATTACATTAATTGAGCCCTCTGTGCTTCCGATTATATTTTAAATCAACTTTTCACAGCATTAAAAGTGACAAAAATAACTATTATATAGATTATGTTAAAATCTAAATGATCAAGAATGACATTTGTTGAAATATACTACACTTAAGCCTGACATAAAAATAACCTTATTAGGGAAAGTAAAGGATAGTGTAATTTATGGAGCAGGATGGGCCTCAGCCAATAAAGATTATCAGCAAGGTTGAGGAAGCTTCCGAATGACACACATTCCTTACAAGGACAAAGAATTGTTACAAGAACTGCTGCTACCAACTCCTTAGATGTAACTAAAGCAGTATAAAGACACTGTGTAATACACATTTTAAAGCTTCATTATTTTTTAATGTAATACGTTCAATTTGATTTTGCGACACATATACAACAGCCACCTTGAGAGAGCAGGGTTTGCATTAACTAAGGTTTCTGAAGCAGACTAGGCGAATTAAGATATTTTACCGGGCAAAATGTGGAAAGCTGGATGCCAGCCACCTTCTACTAAAGTATCTGGAGCCAAATTGAGCATAAACATATCCAAACTCTTCTGATCTCAACTACCAGAGGTGTTCGGCCCTTCATCCTCAAATAGCCACTAAAATAAACTATAATGTATTTTTAGGCCTAATGGTTGGGTGAAGATGAAGGGCCCAATGCCTCTGGTGTTTGAGATCAGAAGAGCTTGGGTATGTTTCTGCTCAGTTTGGTTCCAGGAATTTTAGTGGTAGGCATCCCACTTTCTCCAGACAAGTTGATACATGACAGTGGTGGTATGTACCTGTATATGAGACAGCTTCCACAAAGGGCAGATTTGGAGAACATGGAGAACATCTAAGAAGCACTTTTAGCAGTAATGGCTTACTAATAGGAGAACTATGGCTTTGTGGTTGTCAGTGGTGGAGGCCATGGGAAGGTGTAGAAATGGAGACATTCATATCGCAAGACAAAAGGTGATGCCACATAACTAACATTTAATCAACATGCAGAGTCATGTTCAGGACCTCTATGTCCATAGCTACAGAATAAAGCTTCACCTAAAAGACCTTCTGGAATTGATAGACCAAGACCAAATCCCAGTAGACCTCAAAGGGATCTTCAATGGATAATTGGGATCTCCTACTTATTTTGTAAGGCCCAGAAGATGTGACACCAACCCACCTAGAGATATTTTATGCTGCCTTACAGGCTACCAGCTCACATAGCGGGATTCTTCAGAAAAACAGCTCTGAAGGTTATATTTCTTATTATACAGTGAAAGTTAACCCTGAGTTACTGAGTGGCTAGGCACAGCCCCGAGGAACATATATCAAATCAAAAACAATTTTTTAAAAATGTAATTTGTCCTATTTTTTTAAACAGACTTTAAGTCATTTGAAGATAATATAACCTCTCTCTTTTACCTGCTTGTGGCTCGCATCACAATAACACCCCAAGAGGGCATAGATAATTCTCATTGCAGCAACTACAGATGGATCTTGCTCCTCATAGTTTTTAAAATGTATGCTTAAATTGGCTAACTGCCTTCTTCCTTTCCCTCCCTTGTTTGATCTAAACCTAGTAGGTTTCATCCCAGGTGAGAAAGCAAGAGATAATATAACTAAATGCTGAATCTCACCCACTGACCAACTAAATCCATACAACTTTCTCTCTACAGATGTCGATAAGAAATTTGACAGTGTGTTCTGGGATTATATGTCAGCAGCCCTTCAACATCCCGAGATAAAGTCTAAAACAAATTCTGATACTGGCACCTTACTTCATATTGCAAGCCTGAGTAAAGATCAATAGCTATATTACGGAGGTCTTCAACATCTGCATCAGAAGGTTTGTCCCTGTATCCCTTGATCTTCATACTGATACTGGAACCCTTTTTTAGACAAATAATGGCCAAACAAAATATTTATGGGCTGACTGTGGCTGGTAGGGAATATAAATGAATGGCCTTCGCAGATGACTTGTTATTCAGTCTCACACAGCCACCTATCACCTTCCCTAATTTGCTGAAAGCTCTGGAGGTCTTTCAACACACGTCATGAAAACAATTTACTAAGCAAGTTGTTTTAAATATTCTACTACCAGGGACAGCTGTCAATGACTACCAAATGTCCTCTTCACTTTAAAAATCCAAAAACCATCACATACCTGACCACACATTTGCCCTCCAACCTGTCAAATCCCTTTCTGCTCAATTTCATACAACTAAGAGATCCAATCTAATCCAACTCTGCATGGTTCTCTTAATTTGGGAAAGTCACAATTCTCAACATGAATTTGGCAAGTAAAATTGCTTACCTACACACCTACACTTACCTAACACCTTCTTTGAAAGTGTTCAATATCTGTTTTGTACTTTTCTCTAGGGACAATCATGCTCCAGTCCTTGACAACCTAAAAACCCAAGGGAGGTAATGGACTCCCTGTTTAGTTCAAAGAAGGGTTTGAATCTCACTTGTAGGGATACAGACAGCAACGAAAACCTGACAGAGGGTCTAACCATTACCTCCTCTTTAAATTAAAAAAAGCGTAGTTGACTTTAGACATAGTTTGCATACTTCAAAGGTAACTCAACTAAAGTATGTAAGTGCTATGTCTACTTGCTATTTCCCTGTTTGAGATGTGAGCTCAGCTTAAAGTAGACCTAAACTTTAAAGTGTTACTAAACCCAGGATCCTGCATTCACTATATCTGGTCTCCCTCAGTACACACAACATCAAAATGCAATTACCGTATTTCGCACTCCATAAGACGCACCTAGATTTTAGAGTCGGAAAACAAGAAAAAAAATATTCTGAAGCAACGGACTGCAGACATAGTACAGGAAATGACCAGAGACTCTGGACATACTACAGGAGATGACCAGAGACTGCGGACACAGTGCAGGAGATGACCAGAGACTGCGGACACAGTACAGGAGATGACCAGAGACTGCGAACACGGTACAGGAAATGACCAGAGACTGCGGACACAGTACAGGAGATGACCAGAGACTGCAGACACAGTACAGGAGATGACCAGAGACTGTGGACACAGTACAGGAGATGACCAGAGACTGTGGACACGGTACAGGGGATGACCAGAGACTGTGGACACAGTACAGGAAATGAGCAGAGACTGCGGACACAGTACAGGAGATGACCAGAGACTGCAGACACAGTACAGGAAATGAGCAGAGACTGTGGACACAGTACAGGAAATGAGCAGAGACTGTGGACACAGTACAGGAAATGAGCAGAGACTGTGGACACAGTACAGGAAATGAGCAGAGACTGTGGACACAGTACAGGAGATGACCAGAGACTGCGGACACAGTACAGGAGATGACCAGAGGCTGCAGATACAGTACAGGAGATGGACCAGAGACTGCGGACACAGTAAAGGAGAGATGACCAGAGACTGCGGACACAGTACAGGGAATGACCAGAGGCTGTGGACATAGTACAGGGAATGACCAGAGGCTGTGGACATAGTACAGATGACCAGAGACTGCAGACAGTACAGGGGATGACCAGAGACTGCGGACCTTTGGGGAGGGAGGGGGAGTGGGTACCTGAATTTGACAGGTTCCCTGCTCCCACTTCCGCGCAGTTGTCCTTCCCTCTTCTTCCTGCGCCGGCTTCTGTGACAGCCGGGTGCCGACTGAGCATGCGCAAGAAGCGCTGCGCTTTGTGAATGGGCTTCACATGACTTGTCATGTGTCCCAGAAGACACTGGACCATTCACAAAGCGCAGCGCTTCTCGCGCATGAGTGGTGGGCACCTGGCTGTCACAGAAGCTGGCGCGGGAAGACTGCAGCGCTGGAGCAAGGAACAGGTAAGGTCCTGCAGGAAAGAAGAGCTGAGCGGCCGGCCCGATATTCTGACATGGTGGCAGCAGAAATACCGGACCGGCCGCTTTATATTCGCTCCATAAGACGCACTGACATTCCCCCTCTTTTTTGGGGGAAAAAAGTGTGTCTTATGGAGCGAAAAATACGGTATTTTAGTAAATATAAACTGCTAAATACCTTTTTTTCTCATCAGCAGTTAGAGCAGTCTTGTGACTTCAGTAGAGCACTGGTTAAAACTTGTAAGAGGAGTTTTCTTTCTGCTCTAGGAGGATGTGAAACCTCTGACCCTCTGTCTGGACAGTGCTGATTGGCCCTGTGCTGATCACATGCACTCTCCCAAGAAAAAAAAAACCGTCTCTAGCAATACACACCAAACTGACCATGTGCATGTGACTACAGATTCAGTCTGTTTCAGGTGTTAATTTAAACAAGAGGAGGGACAGAGACAAAACGATCAAAGAGCCTTTTTACACAATGCAGAGGATTAACCCCTTAGGTTCCACAGTGAGTATGTCAAGCGTGCTTTACTGCATATACAGACTGATTTTACTGTTGTGGGTTTAGTAACACTTTAACTCAGGGCTTGAAATTTCCACTCGCCTGCTCGCCAATGGTGAGATGGAAATTATGGTGGGGGCGAATGTGTCCCCCAGGACCGCCTTGCTGAGCAGGCTCGTAGCTCAGGCCGGATCTGTAATTGGCACTGGCAGCCATCAGACTGCTCAATAGCTGAGCGCAGTGAAAGCAAAGCAAGGAGTGTGTGCTGTGCTCTCTGCCTCCCCCTAGAGTGCAGTACCCGGATCTGTGAGTGAATAACGAAGTACTGCAACTTTTTATGGGTGGGGGGTGTGTGTGTGTACATGTGTGTGTATGTTTGTGTATGCATGTACAATTGTACATGTGTCTGTGTGTATGTACATGTGTGTATCTGTACATGTGTCTGCGTGTATGTACATGTACTGTATGTGTGTGTGTACATGTCTCTGTGTGTGTGTACATGTGTCTGTGTGTGTGTGCATGTACATGTGTTTGTGTGTATGTACGTACATGTGTCTGTGTATGTATTTACATGTGTCTGTATGTACATGTGCCTGTGCGTGTGTATTTCTGTGTATGTATACACACACGCATCTGTGTGTATGTGTGTCTGTACGTGCCTTTGTGTGTATACATGTGTCTGTATGTGTGTGTGTGTACATGTGTCTCTGAGCGTGTGTGTACATGTTTCTGTGTGTGTATTTGTGTGTATGTACATGTCTGTGTGTGTGTACAGGTGTCTGTTTGTGTGTGTTTGTTGGTGGCGAGTAACTCTAAGGCCTGGCTAGTAGCTCAGGACTTAAAATGTTAAGCCCTGCTTTAACTGAATAACATTTATTCTGTTAGGGCACTGTGTATCATATAAAATTGCTATTTTTAAACAAATCAAATTCTTGTTTTTTACTTTTCTGTCAGTTGTTCCCTCTCAGTGCTGCTTATCCCCTGAAACCTCTTTGCAGGATTTTTCTGCCTGCATACTGTACATATGCTCAAGTGATGGCTGCATAGCATTTCTCAGGGCAGGTTTTCTAATATTAAAAACAATGGCCCAAGCCTGCATAATGTTTGCTGAAACATCAACCTTATTGGAAGCCTGTGTGACAAGGTGACAATACAGGAGCACAGTTGGGAAACTGAAGCAGGGTGTTGCCTTCCTAGAACAGGAAGTGCCTGTACAAGGACTTTTATGGCAGGACCTTCAGGTATTATTAAATGCTGAAGATTTAAAAATATTGCATATTATTTGTGAAATTAAATTAACTTTAATTAGTTTATTTTTGCCCTTCCTGCCCACGCCATTACCATGCTAATGAAAGTCTAAAATAAAACCCTTCTGTTGCAAATAAATACCCTATTTTAGATGAAGTGATGTAATCACTGGCTCTCTGTGCTTCTCTGTTCAACTCAAGCAGATCATAGCTGGTGGGAGGCACCCTGTCTCCTTTCAGATGCTCTCAGTTTTGATTCAAGCAGCAGGCTGGCTCGTGGCAGGAGTTGTGCAAATATTAAAATGTCTTAGACTCTATTCACATTAGTGGAAATCGTGCAGCTTTGGTGTGACTTTGATCCCACTTTACATCCTCTTGACCAAGGTCACATCAAAAGTGTCACCAACTAGTGCAGGCACCTTTTCAAAATTGCTGAGACTTAAAATTGCACCAGTTTGAGTGGGTGCCATTGAAAAGAATAAGTTGGACATCAAATCGCATGACAAGATGCACAAGTGTGAATGAAGCCATAATGGGCAGGTGTCAGTCTGGAGGAGTGTTTTGCTGAAACTCTGTGATTGAAAGAACTAAAATCCAATGAATGCAGGCCAGGGACAGTCAGGCTGAGATGGACTAGGCTAAGTGATGCTGTATGTCTTTCATCCAGTAATTGAGGCAAGCTTTCTTTGATTTCTTGCAGCTTCTATTGCACACTGTGAGCCATTAGAAATTAGACTAAGCATTTTCAGTACAGGAGAAGAGTCTGCACAACGGCACAAAGCTGAAGGTAAGTCTGGAGTTCAGTTTTAACATGTTGCAGTGTAAATTAGATTTTAGTGGTTGGGTTAACAAACATTTTAAAATTCAGTTTCCATTACCTTTTTGGATATATTTATTTCTAGCTAGAATATATAGTGTGAAATATCCAGCTTTGCCTGGTACACATACATTTGCAGTTCTAACAAGTCACAATGAATCCAAAAGCATACTGCAACCACAGTTTATTGTGACCTATTTGTTGCTGAATTTTGAGTTTTGCCTCTAGTCATGTTCTCATTTTAAAAAAATAACCTCTTGAGGCTCAAGGATTTTCCTGAGGGGGGAATTTTTGCCTGCTTAGTTATTCTATATTTGCTTTTAAATTTTAGTCAGATCATATTTGAAGTACAAAAGGTTCTGATTGTTTTCACTATTTGAGTGCTGTCTTTGTAGAGATCAACTTCTCACTGTGATAAATGCATGATGTGGACACCTAACTGTGTTTGTGAACCTATTTCATCTATGGCTTACAGGGTAAGTGTACCTTTAAATTGGCACTAAACTCTGGTTTGAAAAAAACATTCTATTCAGCCACGCATTCTTAACTTACAAAAGTACCTTCTATTGCTTCCATTCTCTTGCTGGTGTGATCTGACTCCTTGTTAGATGGTGGCTACGTTCATTCTCCATGATCTCACTGTATGCAGGAGTGCAGCCATCATCTATTGCAGGGGTGGGCAAACTTTTTGACTTGAGGGCCGCAATGGGTTCATATATTGGACCCGGGGGCCGGACCAAGAGTAGATGAATGATGTGGTATGTGTCATCCATAGTAAGTATAGTAATATTCCCCCATAGTAAGCATAGTAATTAATCCCCCATATAGTAATTCATCCCCCATAGTAATTCATCCCCCATATAGTAATTCATCCCCCCTATAGTAATTCATCCCCCATAGTAATTCATCCCCCATATAGTAATTCATCCCCATATAGTAATTCATCCCCCATATAGTAATTCATCCCCCCTATAGTAATTCATCCCCCATAGTAATTCATCCCCCATATAGTATAATTCATCCCCCCTATAGTAATTCATCCCCCCATAGTAATTCATCCCCCATAGTAATTCATCCCCCATATAGTAATTCATCCCCATATAGTAATTCATCCCCCATAGTAATTCATCCCCCATATAGTAATTCATCCCTCATATAGTAATTCATCCCCCATAGTAATTCATCCCCCATATAGTAATTCATCCCCCATAGTAATTCATCCCCCATATAATTCATAGTAATTTCATCCCCCATATAGTAATTCATCCCCCCATAGTAATTCATCTCCCCCATAGTAATTCATCCCCCATATAGTAATTCATCCCCCATAGTAATTCATCCCCCATATAGTAATTCATTCCCCATAGTAATTCATCCCCCATATAGTAATTCATCCCCCATAGTAATTCATCCCCCCATAGTAATTCATCCCCCATATAGTAATTCATCCCCCATATAGTAATTCATCCCCCATAGTAATTCATCCCCCCTATAGTAATTCATCCCCCCTATAGTAATTTATCCCCCATAGTAATTCATCCCCCCCATATAGTAATTCATCCCCCCTATAGTAATTCATCCCCCCATAGTAATTCATCATCCCCCCATAGTAATTCATCCCCCCTATAGTAATTCATCCCCCCTATAGTAATTCATCCCCCATAGTAATTCATCCCCCATATAGTAATTCATCCCCCATATAGTAATTCATCCCCCATAGTAATTCATCCCCCATAGTAATTCATCCCCCATATAGTAAATTCATCCCCCCTATAGTAATTCATCCCCCCTATATAATTCATTCCCCATATTAATTCATTCCCCATATTAAGTCCCCAAGCCCCCCCTGTGTCAATTCACTTACCTTTGCTCCGCGCGTTCCTCTCGCTGTGTTCCCGCGCCGTTCCGGTGTAGCATGAAAATCTGTCTCCTATGAGGATCTGTCCCCCTCGACGTATCTGCGCATGTGCCAGTTTCAGGCATTAGCAGCAGATCGGCGATCTCCGGCACATGCGCAGATACGTCGAGGGGGACAGATCCTCAAAGGAGACAGATTTTCATGCTACACCGGTCTTCAGGGCGGACTGTGAGAGCAGCCTAGCTCCCCTCACGTTCTTCACGCTGCCCCGCCTACACACATCCTGACAGCCATCCTGACAGTATCACGCTCCGCGGGCCGGATTAAAAGGTCCGCGGGCCGTAGTTTGCCCATTGCTGATCTATTGCTTGGTTTCAAGATGAATTAGGGACTATGGACTATGGAATTTAGAGCAGTGCACATGACCACAACTAACATTCACTGCTTGTTCCAAAAAACAAAAGTGAGAGAGAAAGAGATAGGTTTGGGAGCCATAGAGAACATTACATAGAGGTAAAAAAAGGCAATAAGGACCATTTCAATGAAAAACATCTTACAGGGCCATTAGGTAGTAGATCCATTTTGAAGATCAAGGATATTGTTTATTGTCACATTTAATAAAAAAACACTATTCTTACAATTTACTCAGTAAAAAATTAAATGTTAGAATTTACTTAACTTTGAAGCAGGGCCAGATCTAGCCTGTCTGATAAGGGGGTGCAGTAAAAAACATCAGGGGGGCAGAGGATGTGAGGTCAACAGGGCAGTGTATAGAAGTCTGTAGGGCAGTGTACAGGAGAGCCAGCAGGGCAGAGAGATAAGGACAGCAGTTTGTCGGGCAGAGTACAGAGGCCTTTAGTTTGTAGGGCAGGTTACAGCAGGTTATGAAGGCAGTGTACAAGGCTTGGCAGGGCAGTGTACAGGGGCTCAGCATGACAGAGGATGAGAGGTCAGCATGGGAGTGTACAAGACTCAGTAGGGCAGTGTACAGGCGGTCAGTAGGGGACAAAATAGGGGTCAGCAGGGCAGAGGATGGGAGATCAGCAGGGGACTGTACAAGAGTCAGTGGGGCAGTATACAGGGGTTCAATAGAGCTACAGGATAGGGGTCACAAGGCAGAGGAAGGGAGCTCAGCAGGGATTATCAGGACAAAGACAGGGCAGCAGGGCAGGAAAAAGGAGTCAGCAGGACAGAGGACAGTGGTAAGAAGGGCAGTGTACAGGGGTCAGCAGGATGAAGGACAGAGGTCAGCAGGGCAGGGTACAGAGGGTCAGCAGGGTAGAGGACAGGGGTCAGAAAAGGAGAGGACAGGGTCAGAACTGCAACATAGCAGCCAGCTATACACTGCAGATCGAGGCTGTGTCTGTAAGGGAATCCAATTTCAGCAATGTGTTGAGTGGGGAGAAGGAGACCTATTGACTGCCCTGTGTGTGGTGTCAGGACAAGGTTGTCTAGCTCCCAGGGTGAAGATAACAAACTAAGCCCCCTCATGTGTAAGCATCATGTCAAAAAAGAAAAAAGAGAATGAATCTGCATGCCCCCGAAGCACAACATCTGTCTGCATGACAAAATTCTCCCCAAACAACAATGCAAAAATTCCCCCTCCTCCCAGTATAAACCCCCATCCCAGCAAAAATCTTTGCCCCCCCAATCCCGCCTCCAATGGCCCCTAATTCCCTCTAATTCCCTCATTCTAGCAC